CTTTTATTCTCTGCCTTTATGAGGATTGTAGAATCTACAAAAAAAAAAAAAAAAAAAAAAAAAAACCTGTGGAGAAGAGAAAGGTAACAGAGAGCCAAAGACTAAATTAATATAATCACCACAAAGACAAAAGTCTGGTCTACATAGAGACTGAAACAGAATCCTGGTAGATCTGAGCAGTGACCACAGGAAAAAAAAAAAAAAAAAAAAAAAACAAAAACAACAACAAACCTGTGGAGAAGAGAAAGGTAACAGAGAGCCAAAGACTAAATTAATATAATCACCACAAAGACAAAAGTCTGGTCTACATAGAGACTGAAACAGAATCCTGGTAGATCTGAGCAGTGACCACAGGAAAATGCCTATGCTGAGGGGAGGAGGAGCGCGAAGAAACTGTGTGAGGGGAAAAAAGCAAGAAGGTGGCATAAGGGTCCTCCTAGACAAAAGAAAACAATGGGAGACCCTCCAACCCCACAACCTGAAATCACACCCTAAGGAACCTGCTCCTGGCTACAACAGGAGAGGGAGCTCTTGAACAAAGACTCAAACCTCTTCACATCCCCACTCTATCCACAAAATGCAAAGTAACAGCGCTTAAAGAAAGTGTCTGGGGGCTGGGGAGATAGCTCAGTAGAATAAGTGCTTGCCTGGCAAGTCCAAGGGCCTGAGTTCAACCCCCTGGTTCCACCAAAAAAAAAAAAAAAAAAGGCGTCTGTATAACATAAACAGAAGATGGGAATAAAGTGCTTCAGACGGTAATTTCCCACCACAATCGCTCCCAAATGTGACAGGGAACAGAATTCTAACCTAACATTCCACACTGACTTAAAGAGGACACAGAAACATATTCTTAATGAGAAACTTCAAAATTAAAACAAGGAAACTCTGAAAAATCATACAAGAACAATTACTGTCATAAATTCCTCAAGAAATATTCATTTGAAATGTTCATAAAAAAAAACCTTAAGAAATCAAAAATCATGAAAACCAATGATTAAAGAGTACCAAGTGTGACAGAAAGTAGCCACAATAAAAATGATCATCAAGCATAAATATTTTGGACACACCTCAACTTTACAAACAAAATTAAATTGTGAAACAGACCTAACATTAGGCTATAATAAAAATCTTCAAAAATAAAGCCCGATTCTATGAGATGTATTCCAAACATCTCAGAGTGGACCTGAAATAAACTAGGACACATTTTCTAGCAAAATCTTTAGACTTTATCCTTTTTTTTTAAGGAAGGGCCTACAGGGTGTTCAGGGTCTCACCACTAGATTGGACTTGTAGTGATCTACCTATTTACAGCCTCCCAAGAGCTGGAATTACAGGTGCACGCCACCATGCCCAGTCTCAAATGTCATCTCAGCACACCCCAGGAGTGGAGCCGGCACGGCAGGCCTAGGGATTGAGCCCCCGGCCCCTGTACCTGCTTGCAGGCACTGTAATCTGCTGAGCTATTTGGCCTGCCCCTTAGACTTTAACGATGAAAAAATTAAGATCTCTAGGCAAAAAGACCAAATAAATACAGGTAAAAATAGAGGCTGAGAAACCAGCTGAACAAATTTCACAGAAGACACAAATAATATAAGCTTGTATTTTTGAAAAATTCAAGGAAGTAAAGTGTAATCACTGAAAAGCCTTAATCATTCAAGAAAATAGAAAATACTACTCCTACAAGTCTCTCACCAACTTACCATTAAGTGATGGTTAAGTAAACATGGCTACTTTCTGTCATACTTGGTACTCTTTAATCATTGGTTTTCATGATTTGTGATTTCTTAAGTTTTTCTAATGAACGTTTCAAATGAATCTATTTCTTGAGGAATTTATGACAGTAATTGTTCTTGTATGATTTTTCAGAGTTTCCTTGTTTTAATTTTGAAGTTTCTTATTAAGAATATGTTTCTGTGTTTTTATGTACAGGAACCAAATAACACAGTAATCATCTTATAGCTACCAGAGGTATAAGGAGACACAGAAACAGTAGTAACAAGATTTTAAAACTTCATTCTCAACACCATGTAGATCAATAGGGCGAAGTGAAGCAGAGAGGTAAGAAAATTCATGCAGCACGGCTGCTGTAGTGTGGACCTGAAACGTCTGTACCCCAAAGGCCTATACGCTAACGGCTCGGTCCCCATGTAATGCTTATTGGGAAGAGATGAAACTTTCCTTTTTCTCTTTAGCTTCTCAGAGATGAAGTGAGCAGTTTTGTTTCACTACATACTCCTGCCACGATTTGCTGCCTTCTGCGGCCTGTAAGCAACACGACAACCATGAACTGAGTTCTCCAAAATCATGAGCCAAAATAAACCTTTTGCCTTCCCTAAGCAAACTCACATATGGGGATATATATTCCAAAAATAAATACGTATTCTCATGTGCCCACAGAAGTCACAAAAATTGATTACATACTGTACTAAACAAAAAAATCCCTAATCACTAGTAACTTCCATATGTTGCTATTATAAACAACATCCTTTGGTTACAAAGCAAACGAAAAATAAATTTACAAACAGAAACAAACCAGAAAGGCCTTTCTGTACATTTAAAAGTCTTGTGTTCAACATTTGGTCAAGAATGAAAAAGAAAAAGACTTGTTAAAAATAAAGTCAGTCATGGTGGTACAGGCTGTTGTCCTGTTATAGGAGGCCTCAGCAGCAGGACTGCTTAAGCCTGTGAGTTTGATAGCAGCTGGGCAACACAGCAAGACCTCACCTCAAAAAAATGTTTTAAATACATACAAAAGACACAAAAGTAGATACAAACAATAGAAAGACATCCCTTGTCCTTGGATAAAATTCATCAGTGTAAAGATTTCAGTAGTACCTAAGAGTTGATTTATAAATCTAATATATTCACAAATAAATTTTTATGGTGCTAGAATGAAGTGACACTTTTGAAAATATTTTTTGTCTGAACAGCAATAATACTTCAAACATTCAAAAGATAGTTATATCAACAAACTGGGGGAAAGCACAGAATATAGTCAGCAAATGAACTTAAGTATATTTCAAAAAGTAATTTAACTATACTGAGGGAAGAAAGAAACCTAAATAATTTTTTTTTGTTTTAATTATGTATTTGGTACAGGATCTCAGTACGCAGCTCAGACTCATAGCGATCCTCCTGTTTTCAGCCTCCTCAGTGCTGAGATTACAGGTACACACCACCACACCTGGTCTCAGTGGCCAGCCTCGAGGGAGTGGTGTGGTGCCGGGGATCAAACCCAGGTACCTGTGCCTGCGCACACATGCCAACCAGATCCTATCTTCTAAACACTCCTCTCCTCCACTAAAAAGAACCAGGGACCACTGGAGAAATGGCTGATTCAAAGCTAGAGGGAAAAAAAAACCTCAGAAAAGTCCGAATATATTGTGCAGGTAGGAAAGAAGAGCTCAAAAATAGATGCAGTGAAGTCAAAAGGACACAGAAACCACTGTGTGAAGACCTTCCACATTCTTAAGTGGAATAATAAAAATTTGTTTTTATAATACACTGGATAAAATAGTTGAGTCTATACTCATGTAAGTAAATGAAAAAAAAGTGTGAAAGAAGAAAGTTCTGGGGCTGGGGAGATGGCTCAGCAGAACAAGCACTTGCCTGGCAAGCACAAGGTCCTGAGTTCAATCCCCAATACCACCAAAAAAAAAGAGGGAAGTTCTTTTTCATGATGTTCCAACTAACATAACCAAAAGAAACAATCAAATTAGGGGAAAAAATACTACTTCACCACATAATAGTAACTGATTCAGATTAAATCATCAATAGCTGCCAAAACTATTTGAAAATTTGATGAAGAGAGTAGCTAACCTTACAGTATTTCCTACACAATATTTATTAATAAGGTACAAAATAAATACTTCGTAGTGGATAAGTCTGACACTATCTCAGGTAAGTTACTGAAATTATCACCATCAATAATGGGACAAACTGACACCAAATATGCACCCAGATATGACATGCCAAGAGGACAGCATTATATTTGTGTCATCCTTGCCCCAAAGTTTAATCTAATCACAAGGAAATGCAGACCAACTCAAACTGAGGAATCTTTCATAGAGTACTTAGAATGCATGTTTCAAAAAAATACCCAAGAGCTTGGGAGATGGCTCAGTGGAATAAGTGCTGCCCTGGCCAGCACAAGGGCCTGAGTTCAATCCCTGGTTCTGCCAAAAACAAAAAACAAACAACAACCAACAACAACAACAACAACAACAACAACAACAACAAAAAACCAAGAGCATAAAAGTCAAAGTTTGACTGCGATACTAGTAGTATATAAAGAGATATAAACTAACCCTAACACGTGATCGTGGATTAAAGTTTGTATTAACTTGGTTTTGGTACAGGAGACATTACTGAAACAACTATCAAAATATGAATATGGTCTTCTGATTATAGTACTGTATCAACGGCACCGTCCTGAGTTTGATGATTATGTTATGGTTGTACATAAATGTTCTTTCTCTTAAGAAGTCTATATTGCAGCATTCATATACAAAGCTCCATGATAAAGGCAACTTACTCTCAAATGGCTTAAACAGTATACATGTTTAGTGAGAAAATTATAAAGGCAATGTGTTAAAATGTTTAGGAACTTGGGAGAACAGTTCACTTTTTACTATTTTTTCAGCGTTTCATTAATCTGAGATAACTTCAGAAAGAAAAATGAATACTTTGACTATTTTTTAAAATTTATCTCTATTTGAATCTTCCTAAATAAACCTAAAAGCATTCATCAGTATAGAAGTCCTAAGTGATAACCCAGTTTATCTGACAGTTTTTTAGGGGCACATAAAATAACAATGTATCTTACAACCAACAAAATCTTGTACTTAAAAAAGTACAGTAACTGCCAAAGTTTTCTAGGAAAATATTGCAGCAAAATGCATAACAAGAGTTAACATATTTTCTCAGAAAATACAGCAGCTCTAACAAAGTATGTTTCAAAGAAGTCAAAGTCTTTTTATTACAGAAATCACGACCAGTACCTTGTGTTGCTAGAATAATCCCACATGGCCACATCTAGGAGGCTTCGGACCCAGGTCTTAGAGGGCTCCTTCAGAAATTTTTCCTGGTAAATCCCTACTACGAGGTCCTCTACAGTGAGAAGTTCTATATCTTGCCTGATTTCTTCCATTGGTACATAAAAAAATATAATTTACGAATTAGAATACTTAGAATATGTATATCAAAATGAAAACAAATATTATACTTCTGCAGTGACCCAGATATTTACCTACCTGATACCCTTGCCATATGCTTCAAACACCAGTTGACTCTGGCTCTATCATCAGTCTGGAGAAGGAAAAAAAATAGTTACTTGTATCCTATCTTGAATTATTTTTAATTATTTATTTAATGTTAATTAATGTTCATTCAAGTGGGTGTATGGAGGAGGTGCAGGAGGCTGAAGCTTGTGACAACTACATTAGAACTATTAAAAAAAAAAGAAGCGTGCATTAGAAGAGATTACTACTATTATTAACTAGGTATATCTATATAGTAATGTTAACATACTTTTTGAAAAGTGAAACAGCATGTGAATAAAGAAAACAATGTTCAGGAAAAACTTAGGCAACCTGTTCATGGTTATACTACCAATAAATAGGCAAGGTCAAAATCTAATCCTCTGACTCCTCGTCTAGATGAATTTATAGAAAACAAAGAATATAGCCTTTTAAATGTATTACAAAAAAAGAAAGGCAAAAGATTACTGCAAAGATAGTTTTTAACAACAGATAATTATGTGCAGAATGAAAAGTATATAGAACGGAGCATCCACTTTTCAGGGTAGGAAGATACTGCAGATGTTTTTTAGATAGAGGAACTAAAATCTTACACACTCAAACTGAAATACGTTCAGCTTTTGTAGTCTTCAAAACCCTCCAAACTTGGAAGCATTTAAAAGAAAAAGCATAACACTAGTTACACTAAAAAAAGAAAAAAAAAAAAATCAGAATGAACGTTTTAACACCAAAGCTAATATGTAGGCAAAAACTTCTATTGGTATCCTTTGTGGATCTTCTGGTATCCAAATGAACATCTTAAAATCACCTTCTCAACTAAAAATTACCTTGCAGGGCTGGGGAGATGGCTCAGTAGAATAAGCACTTCCCTGGCAAGCACAAGGGCCTGAGTTCAATGCCTGGTTCAAAAAAAAAAAATTTACCTTGCAATAGATAGGTGGCCAGTTCCCAGGGTTTGGATGAATAAATCTATAAAAATTTTGTAACACGGTCACTTGGTCATGTCCAAATTCAAAGTTTGAAATAGGGATCTTGTGACTAGAATCACCTGAAAGAATTAAAAGGAGGCAACAGTTCAAACTTTGAGCAAGACAAATATGAGTAGGTATGGAAATAGGGGTACAGTAAGAGAATACTGAGGCACTTATATGAAATATGGTTATGGCTAGGAACTTTATATATACATGTAACTTTACTACTACTCACAGAGATGGGTGGTATATATAGAATTCAGGAAAAGACCAAGAGACCCCCAAATGAGCAGTAAGTCAGAAATGACTCATGACTCAGGCTAAGTGACCAAGTCTTCAATGTTTCCACCATTCCACACTGCCTGTCATAAACGTTTTATTAATAAGGTTGGTGAGCAAAACAGTAATAACTGCTTCTGAAATGATATATGAAAATTTCCAGAAAAAAAACAGATCAAGTGACTCTTGTAAAAACTAAGAGCCTGAGGCTCTTTAAAGCATACACATATTAGTAAGGAATTACTACATCAGGGTACCAGAGAATATAGAAATCAAAAAAAATAAGGTTAAGTTTTCCCAGTGGATTATTTGGCAAATTCAGGAAGAGGACGGTGAATTGTTGATCACAGTGTTTTGGGGCCTGGATTTCTAGGTCTGACGTATCTCAAAGATGCAAACACATTTTCTCTGGAAAAAGACAGTATTACTATAGACCTTAAAGTACTCTGAAAGCTTTTTTTCCAGATACTATGGATAACCAAATAAACAAAAAACAAGAAAAACAACCAAAACAAAGTTGATAGATACCCAATGAAGAAATAAAGGCCTGGAAATCTTGAAACAAGTCCTAGAGAACTGAATCTAGTATTTCGGTTTGGTATTCCTAATCAGCATTTACAATGCTGGAGGACCCAGAGGCTAAGAAACTTATTATGGTTTGTGTCTAGTTGTCACCCCAAAGCTTCATACAGTCACTGGGGCAGGCTGCTAGAGTCTGTGATTAATTCATGATCCAATGCTGGGATTCTGGGTGTGGGTGAGGACAGCCTGAATACAATAGAGGGAAGAGAGAGGCTTGCTCTCTGCCTCAGCTGCTGCTTCTCCCTTTGCCCTTTGCTGTTTTCCACCCAACACCCTGAACTGCTGGCCTATGCTGTGTGACACTCTGCCTTGGAGCCAGCTGGGTATGGACTGAAACTTCCACTAACTGTGAGCTAAATAAACCCTTTCTTCCCTAATTTTGGGGGTTGAGTATTTTGTCCCAACAATGAGAGAAAAGTAACCGAGACAAAACTGGATAGCATTTTCAAGAGATGCAGCATTAACAAGAATTTAAAATATTACTCCAGTTATTACCCATGCAAATAAAAGTTATAATTAAGAAATACTCTATTGTCTCCTGGCTTCCACTGTGTATGCTACAAAGTCAATAGTGAAATTAGCACATGATTCTGTGGAGGTTGTGTGTACCCTCCTTTTACTCTCATTAAAGAGCAACAGAAATAAGACTATGCTTATAAGATCTGAAGCTCCACTTCAACATTACAATAGAGCTTAACAATACTTATGAACCCGCATTAAGTCTGTCAACATTATAATACATTAAAACCATATAAGGGGAGAAGTAGTTCAATTACCATCCTTTTTCTGTAGCTGATCACAGGTTCACAGCTGCTACTTAGAAGTACCTTCTTCCTTACCCATTCTGTATTTGGTCGACCTTCAGTAAGCACCTCAGCAGGTCTCGGTTCTTTCCCTGGTGGAGTGACTCATGCATTCATTTCTGAAGGCTCTGGGCCATTTGTCATTGGGCTTTTATTAAGTTGTTGTAGTTTCCCACTGATTTAATAACATAACATCAAGAGGTACCCTAAGGTATGTCCCACACTCCATATATATTTGTTCTTTCCTCCACTGTGGAGTTAATGGGAGCATCACCCCCTTGGCAGTCTGGGTCAACCACCCCTCATAACACTGCAACTCCCTTTTCAGAGGCATGAGACCAAACTGATGAAGGTGAAGTCTTAGCTTCCAGCTCAATGGTATCACCGTTGTGCTTCTTGATACAAGCAGTCCCCCTCTAAAACTAGGACTTCTAGTCCAGCAGAACATAAGGTTGTGAGGACAGGAGACAAAAATTTTGCTAGTGGATCACTAGGAGTAATGGTGACTGGTACCATCCCTACTTTCACCTTTTGATTCCTGGATGCATGAATCCTTGCTATAGCGGACACAGTACCATATAGTGGGCACCCCTTCAGAACCTTCTGAAGTACCTTACCCAGCCCTGTAAACTACTGCCATCTAGGTGGCACCTTAACTGTGTCTTCAAAAGAGCATTCCACCTTTCTATCAATCCAGTCACTCTGGATGGTGAGGAACCAATGTAAAATCAGTGAATTCCATGAGCATGAACCCATTGCCTCACTTCTTTGGCTGCAACATGTATTCTTGGGCAGAGGCAATACTATATGGAATTTCATGATGGTGGATGAGACATTCTGTGAGTCCATGGATGGTAGTTTTGGCAGAAGCATTACGGGCAGTGAAGGTAAATCTATACCCAGAAAATGTGTCTATACCTATAACGACAAGGTGTAAGGTGTCATCCCTTGCATCATGGAAGTGGTCCAATATAATCAACTTGGCACCAGGTCTCACGTTGATCTCCTGGGGAATGGTGCCATATGGGGGACTGTGTTGGCCTCTGCTGCTGGCATGTTAGGCATTCAGAAATGGCTTCAGGCAGATCAGCCTTGGGGACTGAGAGTCCGTGTTGCTGGGTCCATGCACAGCCTCCATCTCTGCACCGTGGTCACTCTGTTCATGGGCCCACTAGGTAATGACAGGAGTGGCTGAAGAAAGAAGTTGGCCACTCTTCACAGAATGGGCCATCCCATCTACTTGTATTAAAGTCCTCATCTGCTAATGTCACCTTTTGGTGAGCATTTACATGGGAAACAAATACTTTTACATCCTCTGCTCACATGGAAAGGTCTACCCACATAGCTCTTCCTCAAATATCTTTGTCATCATATTTCCAGTTATGTTCTTCAAGTTCCTGCCCATCCATCCACACTATTGGCTAGAGCCCATCAGTCAGTATACAGTTATATATCTGGCCATTTCTCCTGCCAGGAAAAATGTACAACCAAGCACTGCCTAAAGTTTTGCCCACTGTAATGATTTTCCTTCATCTCTGTCCTTCAAGGATGTCCCAGAAAAGGACCATAATGCTGTAGCTGTCTACTTGCGGGTGGTGCCTGCTTAATGTGCAGAGCCATCTGGAAACCTGGCCCTAGCCTTCTCCTCCTCTGACAGGTAATCATATGGTACAAACCACAAGGCCACAGGCATTCTGGGAAACAGACAGCAGTACAGTAGGTGCAGGGGGCACAGGTGTCTGGGCAACTTCCTCATGTAATTTACTTGCATCCTCTGGACATGCTCTGGCTCATTCTTGAGTACCATTTCCATTTGATGATGGACTGTTTCTGTGCAAGTCCAACCTTATGAGTTGGTGGATCAGACAATACCCAGGTTGTGATAGGCAACTCAGGTCACATGATGACCTGGGGTCCCACAGTCAAATGTTCAGTTTCCACTAAGGCCCAGAAGCAGGCCAAGAGCTGTTTTTCAAAGGGAAAGCAGTTGTCTGTAAATGATGGCAGACCTTTGCTCCAAAATCCTACTGGTCTCTGCTGGAATTCATCTGTGAAGGCCTTCCAGAGACTCCAAACAACATCTCTACCTGCTACTGACACTTCAAGTAACAATGGATCTGCTGGATCCTATGGCCTGGGGGACAGCAGCCTGGACCTGCTGCACAGCCTTTTCTTGCTCTGGGCCCCATTCAAAACTAGAAGATTCCCAAGTCACTTGGTAAATGGGCTGGTGTAAGACACCTGAGTGAGGAATGTGTTGCCCCCAAGTTCTAAATAGCCCCACTAGGCATTGTGCTTCTTTTCTGGTGGTAGGGGAAGCCAAATGCAACAACTTATCTTTTACCTTAGAAAGAGTATCTATCCCTACATGCTCCATACCATGGACTCCTACAAGCTTCACTGAGGTAGAAGGACCTTGAACTTTAGTTGGATTTATTTCCCATCCCATGGCTCTTAAATATTGTACCAACATATCCAGAGTGGTTGCTACCTCCTGCCTACTAGACCCAATCAGCATAACATCATCAACGTAGTGGACCAATGTGATATGTGAGACAGAAAGGTGATCAAGATCCCTATGAACTAAGTTGTGACAGGGCTGCTGAATTAATATAACCCTGAGATGAGACAGTGAAGGTATACTGCTGGCCTTATCAGGTAAAAGCTGTTTCTCATGGTTCTTATGAATAGGTACAGAGAAGAAAGCATTTGCCAAGTCAATAGCTGCATAGCAACTACCAGGAGATGTGTTAATTAGCTCAAGCAAGGAAACCACACCTGGTACTACGGCTGAAATTGGAGTCGGCACTTGACTCAGTTTTAGGTAATCTACTGTCATTCTCCAAGATCCATATGTCTTCTGCACAGGCCAAATGGGAAAATTAAAGATGTGGTAGGGTCCACCACTCCTGCATCCTTAAGTCCTTGATGGTGGCACTAATGTCTGGAATCCCTCTAGGAATGTGATACTATTTTGGTTTACTATTTTACCAGACAAAGGCTGGCCTAATGGCTCCCATTTGGCCTTCCTGACCATAATAGGCCTCACACAACAGGTTAGAGAACTAATGTAAGGATTCTGCCACATACTAAGTATACATCTATCCCAATTATGCATTCAGAACAGGGGAAATGCCTATAGGGTAGATGTAAGGAGCTATTGGACCTGCTGTGAGAGAAACCATTCATCACTTGATGTCCATAGGCCCCTACTCTTACTGGAGTGATATTCTGGATCCCCTGGAATCATGTTAGTTCAGGACCAGTGTCCAGTAGTCCCTGAAATGTCTGATTATTGGCCTTTCTCAATGTACAGTTACTCAGGCAAGAGGTCTCAGGTCCCTTTGGGGAAGGGTAGAAAAAGACTGTATAAATATTTGTCTCAAAAAACAAGAGAAAGATAATTAACACAATAGTATTCCCATTGGCGAAGCATTATAAACTAGAGGTTGTACCCAGCTGAAGCATTTTTTTAAAAAGTTTTAAAGCACATTAGAATGAACAGAAGTGACTTCCCAGATATGACTTCATAAAGAATTTACTAAAAACCCAAGTAGCAGGTAGGGTAACACCAAAATATAAACAATTAGGACATATAATTTCAAAAGAACCAATTAAAACACTCAAAAAGATAAAATATAAATTTAACAAAAGCTATTAAGATCACTAGATAAAAATTATAAAACTACCAAAAAGCATTACAGACATGAAAAACAAAAAGATAGCATGTTTATACAAAGACTTAATATTATAAAGGTAATAGTTTTCTCCAAACTGATTCATTTAAAAGTGATCTAAACCCCAAGAAGGCATTTCTGCAAAATGATAATTTTTTTTTATTTTTTGTGGAGCTGGGGATTGAACTCAGGCCCTTGCGCTTGCCAGGGAAATGCTTATTCCACTGAGCCATCTTCCCAGCCCAAAATATGATAAATTAATTCTGAATTGTTTATGGAAGACAAACAGGTCAAAAAGTACCCACAATATTTTGGAAGTGCAAGGTCTAAATAAATATTACCAAGCTCCAGTGCTTAACAATAAAATAATTATGATAAAAAGGTAGGCCAATGGAATTGACTAAAGAGTAGAAAAAGACACAGACAGAAGCTTGATGTGATATAGGTGGTATCATATATTGGGAGACATACTTATTAGAAGGTAAGGTGGAGACAACTGATTGTCCATATAGGGGAGAGAAATGAAACTGAATCCCTACATACCATATACAAGTCAACTGGAGGAGAAATAAGGATTTTTATATAAAAAAACAAAATTATGATTTTTACAAGAAAATAAAGACTATATGACCTTTAGGTAGAGGATAATTATTAAGTAAGGCATAAAGGTTTACTTGATAAAACAATATATTTACAAAATTAAAATGAAAAACATCTGTTAATTAAAAATCCAAAGAGAATGAAAATAAGACATAAAGGGAAAACAGGAATCTTCACACAATTAAAAAAAAAAAGTAAGCTAAGTATAGTGATACACACTTGTAATCCCACCTATTTAGGAGGCTGAGGCAGGAGAATTCCAAGCTTAAGGTCAGCCTGAGCAACTCAGAGAAACACTGTCACAAAAAATAAAGACAGGGCTGAGGATGTAGCTCAATACTCTCTGGGATCAATGCCCAGTATCCAAAAAGAAGAAGTCAGAGAAGGTAAATAAATAAATACATACATAAATGATAGCATGGTGTTCTATATAGGTACAGAAATATTTTAATTCTATAAGCATTCATACAGGAAAAATGAAACATCACAAATAAATATTGTACACATAGTAAAACTATTCAGAACAAAGAAAGGAAGTAATTAACACAAGATTCAGAACAGTTTTTTAAGAGGGAGAGCGTAAAACCAGCGAGAGATGCTGGAATGAAACGTCAATCGTATTGGCAATGCGCTGGGGGTTTTTTATGTATATTTTTTTCAGCTGACTGGTGGGTACACTCCTGCTCAATATTCTTCTTCACACTTTAAGTAAATGTTACATTCTTTTTTGTACTCATAAAGCTTCATTTGAAGAGCTAATGGACCTTTAGTAAAAGAAGCTCAAATTGGTATTCAAAGCTTTGCTTCTTTTAAAGCTGAACTTCCCTAGAAATCATTAACCAGTAAAATGAATAGAAGCAGAGCTCCCATAGTTGAAGTGGTAAAGAGCAGCCAAAACATCCTTGCACTGCAGTCAGATGGAACCTGAAGCACCTCTTCAGAGGAATATAATTAGGGGAGAGAGGTAACAGGACTTCAACCCCATAACTTCAAACTCCCTTCCACGCCTGAAATTCTTTAAGATTCGAATGTGCTAACCTATGATAAAGGAAGCATTCACTTGGTTTCACTTACACATGCTTCACAAAAGATTAGCTGATGAAGGGTTGCTTGAGAGGTCTACATACATGTTTCTTAGTTACTACTCAAGTGGATCACATCTATATGTAAATTTGCTCCAGTGTATTGCTATATGAAACATTGTCTTCTCTAAATCAGCCCAACAACATTACATAGGCATTTTTAGTTACTATGTCAGCAGAGCTGCCACTGTCATTTATCTTCATTAATTTGCACATTTCCTTGGGTTATCAAATTGACAACTGAAGACATGCTTAAATTGGTAAGCTCCAAACATTTTACCTTTCCCTAAAAGAATAACAACATACTCAGTTTCAATTAGGTTGAATGATAAAAGAAAACACTCCTAGAATCTTTAATAGGCTTTAAAAAAAAAAAAAAAAGAATCACATTTTCAACTTATTTGGTTAACCTGAAAACGCTCTAAGGCTGGCTGTGATGGTGCATACCTATAATCCCAGCACTAGGGAGACTGAGGCAGGACAATCACTACAGGTTTGAGGCCAGCCTGGGCTACAAAGTTCAAGCCAGCCTGCACAGTGACCCACCCTGCCCCCCCCCAAAAAAAAAAAAGAAAAAGGAGAAAACCTTAAGAATAAGATTTTCAAAAAGATTTATCAGACTCAAGACAGCAAACATATAATAAGCTAGTGACAATCTCACAATGAAGGGCTGGCATACAGTAGAAATTCCAATGGATTCAATACAGAAACAGACAAGACACAGAACTTAATAAAAATTGTGAAAATCCACTTACTAGATATGTTCCTACTTACATTTTAAAGATTTAAAAGATCACAGATACCATCTATCACTTCTATGAAGACTATTGAACTACAATGTAAGATGCGTCTTCCCTACCTTATGTTTTGTATGTTAATGTAATAAGTCTTAACCAGATATATGTATTATATTCTTATTTTACCTCATTCCTTTGTACTTACTTGCAGCCTGACAATGAAATCGAAATCCTCGTGGAATTTCACCTACAATACAAAATTGTTTTGAAAGTATAAATATGGAAGTCCTGTAGTTGTATTAGAGTAATACTCAACAAGATGACCAAGTCATTACATGGGCAGGCATTTTTATTATGTGAAAATATGGAACATTAAACCATGGCTTTTTTTTTTCAATCAAGACAATGATGACTATCAAAGAATTATGGCATTTTGCCTAAACTACTGTTAAAAGGCAAGAAAGTCTCTAAATTCTATCATTATGGTTACAAAACAAAAACACTAGACCATGGAGATGAAAGGTGAGCTGGAGAAAAAAAAAAAAAGCAAGGAATTAGAAGTATTTAGAAAAATTTCAAGCTACAAGCCATAGATAAAAGCTAACAGTGGGCTATATCTTCATGTATTCTAGCCACCCAATCCTAATGCTTACTTAATATTGTTATTAAAAACCTAACCCAACAACCCTATGCCAATTCTTAGTTGCTAATAGTTTTTCAAGCAAGCACTATGAAGTCTTGAATTTTAATAATTTGGCTATATTTCAGCTTTTTAAGAAAACAAATACTATTGATAAATGAACACAAGATCTAGCATCTACTCTAGCTGGCTACTTACCAGGATTTATAAAACTGTGGAAAACTGCCATAATACCTTCTTGGAGAGAATATCTAACACAGCCAATTTCACAAGGGAGGAAGCGCTGTTCACAATGAGGAGGTAGCTCGCCATGGCTATAAATATTCAAAAAATAAAAAACACCTCCAAGGAAAGCTACAAAAAAAATTTTAAAAGTCATAAGACAAAAGTAGCAAATGAGTTCTTAAAATTATTCCCAAAGCCTCAAAGTCAAGAGGAAAAAGGCTTTAGAACCATTTTCTGTGCTCCTAGATTCCTAAATCAGCTGGAAAAGAAAACTCATCTACTATACCAGATGAACACGTTAAAGTTTTTGTAATTACCTTCATCAAGGGTTACAGGAGTAACTACTTTTTATGTAAGTACAAAAAGTACTTTTTGTATACAGCCTATAGTTGGTTCTATGATACTTCAGCTATAGATCAACTTTAAATCTCAAGAATAATGAAGACAATATCTTACCCACATTCAACAAATAAAGCACTTTAAGAAATTAAGTCAAGAAGAATGAGTGCCGAAGAACTCTGTAACCATGGAAAATTTAATGCTTCTTGTTTATACTTTTACCAATACACACAAGAACCACTCATAAAGAAGGAAGAAAATGTGAGAATATGTGAAGTATTCTTATTTACCATAAGAATGTTCTTTTTACCAATGTTAAAAGTATAGTAGTGCTGGGCATGGGGGTACACAGATGTAATCCCAGGTAGGGAAGCTGAAACAGGAGGATTATAAGCTTAAACTCGTATTAAGACTTTCTCTCAAAAATAAATGACTAGGGCTGAATTCATGCAACTGCAATATTTGAATAGCAATGGAATACTCATCTCTGACAAAACTAAACAAAAAAGGGGGATATGAATGAAGGACCATTTTGTATCTGTATGTACAAAATAGGATAGATATACAACTACTTTCTCTTCAATGAGAGAAAGATTTGTGCTAATAGTGTTTAGACAAGATATCATGTCTGCATTTTATACTACGAATTACTATGAAGATAATAATATGCAATGTATTAAAAATTATAATTGTCCTACTAACCTGTTTTGAAACTGTCTCATTGCTATTTCTTTCTCAATAAAATTAATTTTAAAAAATAAATGACTGGGGATGTAGCTCAGCTCAAAAGTCCTGAGCTCAATCCTCCACACTAGCAAGGGAAAAAAGTATATTAATGTTAAAGGCATAACACAAGTAGTAAAAAGGCCTACAACCCTTTATTAGCTATGTTCTCTTCTAAACTAGCTCAATAATTCATTTTCACCTTTACTGCTTTGCCATAGTACCTTTTTTTTTTTTGAGATAGGGTCTCTATATGTAGTTCAGTCTGGCTTTGAACTCACTATGTAGTCCATGCTGGCTTTGAATTCACAGTGATCCTCCTGCTTCAGCCTCCCAAGTGCTGGGATGACAGTTGTGCACCAACACACCCAGCTTCCATAGTATATTTTTAACTTCAAGTAGTCATATACTTTTATGGCAAACAATGTGGTCTTGATATACATATACACAACAGATGATCAAATCAAGCTCATGAACACAGCCATCACTTCATATACTTTTGTACTGTAAACATTTAAAATATCCTAGTAGTTCTGAAATACAATTATAAAATCTTATTAACAGAAATCACTATGCTGCACAACAGATCTCCCTGTCTGTAACAAGTTTATCTGGCTAGCTATAAGCAAGTCTAAAAACATATTTAGTAACACATGAAGTGGTAAAAACCAAGAGATCACATCTTTGTTACACCAATTTCTCAACAAATGTATAGTCTTGTTACTTTAGCTCTATCATATTTAAATAAGCCAATTATTTTGAAATGGAAAATCAAGATAAACAGGAAATATTTTTACCGATCAATATGTCAATAGTGTTTTAAGCATCCAAACTTAAAACATACTAGAAATACTCTACCTTGATCACTTTTTAGAGACAAACTTGACATATCTGGGAGTGTAACACATGGCTTTGGTATAAACATGCCTGGCTTCCTTAGAGGTGTAGAAGGGAGTTTCTAAAAAGGAAGAGAATCATTGACCAGAAATTTAAAACTCTCATAGGATACCTTATCTAAAATTTACTAAAATAACTTCAAATTAACCCACAGATTACGTCCTTTCTTTTTAAGGTTAATAAACCCAACAAATGAATATATGTCAAAAACAAAAACAAAGCAAAAGCAGTCAATAGTAAAATCTACAGTTCGAATCATAAGACAAGTGACAATAACCAACTCAACTATAATTACAAACCATTTGTTCACTATTGATTTTCTAAGCTAATCTTTCCAAGTCACCTTTGCCAAAGTGGTGGTCAAAAGAACACCATTCACCATGAAACTCAGTATTCAGTTTCACCAAAGCAAAACCCAAATCATACTGATTTCAAGTCTCAAAGTTGATACATACTTTTAATCTGGAAGAGAAACTGTGTATAAGGAATTACAAAGAAGATATAATTATGGAAAGCTCATAAGCATAACTATGGAAAGTACAAATTCAACTGGCTAGAGCGTCTTCTCAAACATAAATCCAGAAAGTAAAAATCTTTCAAACCTAAGAAAAGTCTTCTAAATTTTAATCCAATGTTAACAGTTTAAGAACAGAATGGTACTATTTAAGAACAAAAGAACCCAGAGGAAGAGGGAAAAACCTTCACAATTGCCTCGCACTATCCTGATAACAATGTGCAAGATAACATTTTATTAATACTTTAACATTCCATTACACAGAAATGTACTCCAACTTTATTCCATTGTTTTTAAGATATACAAATGTTCGCCATTTCAAATCTTGTTATTCCAATATTTAAAAGACAGGGCCTCTGCACTGAGCTACATCCCCTGGTGTCTTGTAAAAACTTGTTTACTTTGAGACAGAGTCTCACTCATTTACTGAGGCTGGGTTCAGACTTGTAATGCTTCTGCCACAGCCTTCCAGAGTGATGGACTTTAAAAAAGCAAAACAAAACAAAAAACCTTTAATCACAGAAATTAAGAGAGATAGTCAAAGGTCATTCAGTACAACTCCTAAATACTAAATAGTGTATTTCCACTGCTGATCAAAATTCAGGATTTCTGTAGACCTTTTCTCACCAAATTGACGTTAAGTAGCCTGTGGGTTTAACTGACATTATGACAAAAGAGAACCCCCATTGCTAATCCAAATTCACTGCCCTAAAATTTCCAAACAGGACTTCTCCGGGTCTCTTACCACCGAATCACCCTAAAGTTAAGCATCTCATTGGTTTAACAGACATTCTGACAACAGGGAAAAGGTGAAACTTCTTCCCTGCACTCATCCACCTCGTCTCCGGAGTCCAGCGCTTTTCGCATTCACCCACCAAGCACTTGTTGAGTGTGCCCACGCTCGAGGCCGGCTGCTGCCCTCCACGCACTTTACCTGCATCTCTGAAGACCCAGGCTCCTTTCCCTGGGCGGCTCTCCATTCTCGGGCCATTTCTGAATATTTCTCCTTTTCTTCCTCCCTCAGGAGCTTGGAAAGAGACAAAAAGACAAGCCCCAGTGAAGACCCGGGGCCTCGTGGGTGGGCGCCTGTGTATTACCGGAGGCTGCTCCAGTCAGATCCAGCGTCTCCCTGCGCGGGCCTCGCCCACCCCGCGCCCAACTGCCCGGCCCATCGCTCAGGCCTCACCGCCCACTCTGCAGAGCAGTGGGGGATGGCATCAGCCACGCGAGTCACGGGCAGGCCTCGCTGACGGAGTTCTGGTATCCTCTCCTGCACGAAGAAGTAGTAGGCATTGCGGCTGGCCCTGCGGTGGGGCATTACGAGCGCCGGCTGCCTACGACGCGCCTGCGACTCCTGGAGCGCGGGCGCCCTCGCTGGATTCCCGCTCTTAGTAACCGAGGTCGGCGCCTGCGCGTGCAGTTTACCAGTTTTTGGCCAATCACTGCGCAGCGCGCAGCCGCATTGGCTCCGTTTTGGGGAAAACCAATCAGAAGGCCGGAGGTTCCACCTTACGCACCCACGGTGGGGCGGAGCAGAAGGGAGGAGGTACACGTGCGCAGCCTTCTGATTGGCTGTGCTGAGTCGCAGACAGATAATAGTCACGTGGAAGGCTGCACGCGTTTCCTGTCCATTGTTACGTAATAACCGAGAGCTCAAGCCAAAGAGTTAGCGGTTGTTTCGGGTTCTTCTGTGTTTTACATCGGTGAATGGCCGTGTTATGCTCAGTCTTGGGTGCAGTCAGCGAGGATAGTGAGGAACGTGACAAATAAGGTCCTTAGGAGAAACCTACAGTCAATGGGGGGGAGGGGGGTAAGGATGACGGAAACAAGTGAACCCCTAAAAAAATTAAATGGGGAGCTAGCTCAGCGGTTTATGTCACTGTCTGGCCGGTGCAAGCCTGAGTCTAACCCATGGTACTAAATAAATAAATAAATGTAAAAAATAAAATTTAAAAGAAAGTTTTTGGGCCTGGGGAGATAGCTCAGTAAAATAAACGCTTCTCTGGCAAGTGCAGGGTCCTGAGTTCAATCCCTGGTACCCCAAAAGATAAATAAAAATAAAAAATAAAAGTAAGTTTTTAAGAAATATTCAACGAGAGGCTGAGAGTTAAGATAACGTCCTTGAATAAAGTTTTTATGTATTTTCTCTTAAAATCTGTTTCGGAGCCGGGGAGATGGCTCAGTAGAATAAGCTCTTGCCTGGCAAGCGCAAGGGCCTGAGTTCAATCCCCTGAGTTTTACATTTAAAAAAAAAATTCTGTTTCATGCCAAGGATGTGGCTCAGCAGTATAGCTTTGGCCTGGCGAATGCAAGGTCATCAGTTTGATTCCCAGTACCGAAAAAACAAAACGTTTCCTTTTTTTTTGCAAGTTTTATTAGGTGATATTTTGGAAGATACTAGGAAATATGTTTATCATCTTACGTTGTCTAATTGGTTACTGCTGATGTATAGAAAAGGTATTGTTTTTAGTGTTGAATCGTGTTACTGAACGGTTATATTGATTCAGTTGATTCAGATTTTCTAATTGGATATATTTTTCCAGGAAAAACCCAATTTCCTAAGTTTATGTGTACAGGTAGGGTATGTGAATGTTTAAAAATAATACATTTGAAAATTCATTAAGCGCTTTTTCTGAGTTTTTTTAGATAGCCATATGGATTTTAACTTGATTTGTTAATATAATAAGCAATATTACTAGATTTTCCTAATATTGAAGCATCCTGCTGTTCCTAGTATAATCTGTGCTTGATCTTGAGTTAAGGGTGACATTTCATGTATTTTTTTGAGGTGCTGTATTTCCTAAATTTTGTTAAGATGAACTTTGATTTGGTTGCAGATACTCCAGTGTTTCTTGAGACATCTCTTTGACTCATGTAGTATTGAGAAATTTGTGATTTAGTTTCCAAATGATTAGATGTTTCCCACCTGTGTTTCTGTTACTCATTTCCCTATTAACTGTTACATGTTCTTAGAGGTTTTGTCTAATATTTCCTAGCATTTCTTATGAATCATTTCCTTTTCCTCACTCATCTCTGCCAGCATTTGATAGTATGTCATTTCTTGGTGCTAGACGTTCTTTCTAAGATAGAATCATAGTGTTTTAATCTGCATTTCTCTAATGGTCAGAGATACTAAACATTTTTTTCGTGTATTTATTAGCCACTTCTAAGAAGTGTTAAATTCATTTCAGTTTTTTAATTTTTATTTGGGAGGTTTAATTTTTTTTTTGAGTACTTTGTAAATTTTAGGTGTAGTCCTCTGTAATAGGTGGCAAAATTTCCCATTCTGTAGTTGTATCTTCACTATGTTGTTTGTTTCCTTTTCTGCACAGAAACTTTAATTGGAAATGATCCCATTTATTGATTCTTTATACTATTTCTTGTGCAATTGAGGGTCTGTTCGGAAAGTCATTGCCCCCAGGTGTGGTGGTGCATAACCTGCAATTCTAGCACTTGGGAGGCTGAGGTAAGAGGATCAAGTGACAGTTTAAATACAGGCTTAATTTGAAATTCTTGCTTCCTTGGTTGTAATGATACCAAATTATAAATTTTGTGTTTTGCTTACCAAATTTTGTACCAAGATTGTAGAAGAAAATGATCTAATTCTATATCAATGCAGAGGGCGTTAATCTATTCCTTGATGATTTCATCGAATTTTTAGTGAAATTCTGATCCTAGTGTATCTTCAGTGGGTATATGGCTCTGACCTTTGACCTCCATTTCATTATCTTGTAGGATGAAGGAAACTATCCCCTCAAAGCCTTGTAGATGAATTATTATAGTAGCTTTCTTCAGGAGGACCACAAGCTAGACCACCCAAGTGTTCATCAAGAAGTGAATTGATAAATTGTGTACATCACTGCTCAGGATTGATAAGTGAATTAGTATTAATTATTAACATGGATGAATTTTGAAGTTTTCCTCAGTGAAAGAAGACACTTAGGGTTCAAAATGCGAGGATATAGAAAAGGCAAAACCATGGTTGTATCAGGTCAGCAAGGACTGGAAGGAAGAGGGATGAAACTGAA